AAATGCGATATTTATGGCAAAGGGTAAAGAATTAAGGTTTTGTCTGTTTACATGCTGTACAGGACCTTTAATATATTTGACCATCCGATGAGTTTGGATCGCCTGTTGCAGATGGAATTCAAGCAAGTAACGAATTTTATAGACAAGGAAGTAACACCGCTTAGGGATCACTCATAATTAGATGGTGCCACTCAAAGGAAGACAACCGATCGCTTGCTTGCTAAGCTGAGTCGCATCCATGCAGCCCTTGTATAGCTTGCTCAAACCGTATACAAAGATATAATTGGAAGTGCGAGTTAAAGATAAGGGGGCCACTGCTAGTGCTCTTGTTTTAACAGCTGCCTGAGCAGGAGCTCCTCTGGTTGGGAATGCCCCCGCTGGTGTTGCATGTGCTGCAAGTGTATTAACCTCTGAACTCCTAAGAGCGATAGGTATCTAATTTCTCCTAACAGTATCGCCCCTAAATCAAACTTTAAGTTCATGAGAATGAGGGATATGATCAGAAACTTAAGAAGCCCTTGATTGTTAGACAAGTTCTTCTTGCAAGCACCATAAAAATGTATAGAGATTGGTATGGAGAATATGCATAGTGATGTTAGGGTGTAAAGGATTAACTGGACTTTATTTCTCTCTTATTGACCATGAGCAAGCTTGAATTGCCTCTCGGAGACATGAAAATGATGGCCATGGAAATTGAAGAGTATCATACTTTTCTTGCACAGATGTCAACCTTTGGGGTTTCGGAATTGTTTTTCTTGTTACTATCATTAGCCTATGGCTTCTGTTTCAGCGCAATGCACAGATACCCCAGGAATATCAAGCAGTGGCTGACTAGGAATGAAAGAACTTTGAATCTTCAAATGTTAAACTCTCTCTGCAAAATCAATGCGCAATCTCAATAATTTCTAGACACTTTAACTCCTCAGAGTGATTAGCATCTAATTTCTCCTTATGGTATCACCCTTGAATCAACCATGAAGGTCACGAGAATAGAGGAAATGATAACCAAATAAAGAAGCAAATGATTGTTATAAAAACTCTCGATGTTAGCACCTCAGGGGAATGTCTCGAGAACAGTTCGATATTTTTCATTTACGTGCTGGAAACGCCACTGTGAAATTATTTTAAGATACCAATATGGAAGAGATCCTCGCAGTTATGAACTCTACTTAAGTAGTAGTGAATAAGGCATGAAAATAATTCAGGCACGTACGGGATTTAAACCCATGGCCTTTGCGATACCGGTGCAGCGCTCTCCCAACTGAGCCAACAAGCTTACTAGGAGCTAGTCATTATGTTGCTTTTCTTCAGGCCTTACCCACAACTTCTTGAGTAATGTTCATAACTGCGAGGATCGCTTCCATATTCTTTTCATCAATCGCAGTTCACATATGATTTTCATGCACAGACATATCGACACATGGAACAGTTTACCGTCATCAGTAGTTGAACTTGACTAAATTAATGCTTTTAAGAAAGCTCTTAAATCAACATTTTTTAACTAGGCCTATAACTAGAAATTAAATTATTCTATGTATTATACATTATTTAATTATAATTTTAAACAAAATTGTTATCTTAGATACGTCTTCTTTATTTAGATTTTTTATTTATATAGATATATGCATGTATGTAAAACGTTTCAGTATGTATATGTATATTGCATAGTATTAAATTTTTATATCTGGGGTATAGTTTACAATGAGGATTAAGTTCCTCCCTTCTATAACCCTTTTTTAATAATAATATGTTATATGTTATTATTTAAATAAAGTTGTTATATATTTATTTACAGTCATTTATTCACCACTTCGAGAGTTTATTTGGAACCAACGTAATGACCAGCCCCTATTTGGCTTGTTAGCTCAGTTGGTAGAGCACTGCACCGCAATCGCAAATTTTATGGGTTCAAATCCCGTACGGACATGATTTTTTTCCGGGCCTTATCTTCTACCACTTAAGAAGTGTTCATAATTGCGAGGATCGCCTCCATATTCGTTTCTTCAACCGCAGTTCACATATATGATTTTTATGTATTTAAGATTATGTTTTGCAATAACTTTTTTTTACTTTTCTTATTTCCAACCAGAGGGCCCCTTATGTTTACTGCTTTTCCAGAAAGCATATTTATGTATGAACATATTATTTCACTTTTCCACGTGAAGCTACTTGAACGGGAGTCTGGGAGGGAGTACATGGGGATTTTTTCTAGACTTCCACCGTTTTACGGTTGCGTAAATGAGCTTTCGATTAGAGAACCACTTCCATCGGCAACAGTCGTGTCTTTCCTATTTTTCGAAAGCGGTTAGTACTGTCATTGAATATTCTTTGATCTCCTTTGGAGACAATTAGTTAATTAATTAGTCGTCACGTGATCGCATAAGCACTTGTTTTTCTTTCGGCTGTTGTCGTTCAGAACCGAGAGATTTTCAACAATCTATAATCTCTTTTCAGAACTCGGTTTTTTTTTTTCTCGTCAGGAAGCCTCACAGAACTTGTAATTACTTAGACATACTCTGAACTTGTCATTTTTAAAAAAATGACAAGTAATCAACAAAAAAAATGCTTAAGTAATCAACTGTACAAACAGGCTGTGATCTTAGCTGAAGACTACAAGGAGCATCGAGATAAGTTCAAAGAGCTACAGACAAAAATGAAAGTCGTACTACAAGCGATAAAAACAGAAATTTACTCAATGCCAAAGAGCATCGACTTTCCCACGATGTACGAGCGAATCGCGGAAGTAATGAAAATCTTGAATAATTTTTACACCGAGCTCGAGAAGGTAACAAATGACATAAAAAAT